GACTGTGGAGACGAACCCCTCAGAAATGTGACATATAACAGCACAAGTGTCTGTGAAGGAAGAATCAGAATACTTAGATAATACAGATGATAGAAATATGCCGTGGCTACAGTGACATACGTCTGTATTTCTACCACTCTATGTTGGGTGTTTATTCTGAGCAATCTGTGCATGACTCTCGGTATAAACATCCATGGGTTTTTCCCTACATTCCTAAACGTCTTGCCTGGTAAACGATCCGTAATTACTTTAAGTTATGATTTAGCCTGGCACGATTGTGATTATTACTTCTCAGTTATTATTAAAAAGTCGCTCAGAATATTTTTGTCATAACAAATCATAAGTTTTTTTTGTCAGAACAAAACACAGGCTAAAGACCTGCAGCCATCTTGGACGAAACAACCCTCGGAGCAAATATACAAAACAGGGTAGGACCTATTTATCGGATTCGCATTACGCCGTTAGTGCGCAGATATCGATTGTCTTCAATATAAATGTTTATTTTAGTCGTATTTAGTTCACTTAATCCACAGTCATATGGATAACAATTTACGGAATTATTGACATAACGTTCATGTCTGGATTCCATGACACCCAGGTCACTAAGTTTCAAAGTACTATGGTCGAAAATGCGAATGCTTTCCAAATCAAAAGTCAGGGAAACAGTTAAAAGGACAACCTTCACTGTGGCATTTTTGTTCGCAAGCCGTCGAGGGGCATGCATGCACCCGTGATTAGCGCGGTTGCAACAAATCGATGAAGACTAGAATATCGATCGACGCCACTGCGCCATCCAGCCCAACGCTGAGTCATACGCGGCGCAAGCAATCAACAGGCCAGGGTGATTTGGCCACCTTCGCCAAGTTTAGTAGACCACACACGTATTCTCTCAGATAACCCCATATCCGACCGACCAAACTAGACAACAGCAGTACAGGCATTGCCAACCTCAAGGACCTACGGTTATTAGAACAAGAGAAAGGGCTAGATGGGACATAAAACACTTCTGTTGCTGTGGCTGTCCAAGGGGTAGGCACGAGATGCTAGTGTCGCTCTCACAGAGTCAGAAGCCAAATCACCAGAAAATTGCCTTACCTCTCACATTGACCAATGGCAGACCCACATTAAGGAGAGGGGTTGAGCACGGGAATATGGATCTCCGTTATACTGGTGGCCTTGCCTCAAGTTCAGGGAAGTCCAAATTAGAGTTAGGGCTAGGAGGCCCAGGGGTAGTTTTAGAGTTAGGGTTCAAGTTAGGAAATGGGAGCAGAAGCCCCCTGGAATTTAGCGCGGGGCCACCTATGGTACTGTGAGAGTCCCAATTCCAGTGTCCGACCATGAGACCACACGAAAATTTACACAAGTTTGCGTCTGCTAAAGGCAAACAGACCAACTGCTCTAAGTTATCAAAGCAAGAGTAGACAAAGATCATACCGTTTGAAGAGAAATTCCTAGTTGCCACCGCGTAGTGCCCACAGTACCAATGGATACCTTTTAAAAGCTGCTTAAAATGAAGTCTCCCAACCATAGTCCGCCTTCCGAACCAGGGGTAGAGAAAATGAATGTACAATTGCTAGCGGCATTGACAGCTGGAAAATGGCACTTTTCAGGGAGCATGATTTGCTAGACGTGACAGTGACGAAGGCGGCGGGCTTGTTAAAAGACAAATGAACATTTGTGCGGAGTAGGTACTGGGGGAAGAAGGCTTTGGGAGCAAACAGAAGGGACGACAGTGAGTTATTCCACGCAGGTCTTTGGATCCCGTGCTAGACCTATCCGACCACAGACAGGAAAAGATCCGACGTCCCCTCTTCGATAAACGTCAGCTTTATAAGTCACATGCGAGTAACATTTCACAATGCGAAAAATTGCGTTCTCCGGACAGAGAAACCAAACACAACATAAGCCACTGGAGGTGCAACAAAATTGGCTGGCTTGAAAAAGAAACAAACTCCAAGGATGGAATAACTGTGGTGAAAGGCATAAATTATTCGTTGTCATTAGGGTATAATGCGGCCCCCAGTTCACCCGATACATGTTACTTCCTAGTCCGAACAAACTAATCTCCCTTGTCGGTCGAATCGCAGAACCTGAACGCTGGACCGAGCACTTTGGGCGCCTACTCAACCTGGAATCTGCAGTTTTCGGGGAAACTACCAAAAGACTCGCATACGAGGAAAGCAATGCTACCATTTGTCGATAAACCTACGTGCAGCAGATGTCTGGTGGAAAAGCAGACACAACTACGGTAGAAGTATGCAATTACGGAGACCTGTAGAAGCCCTACTCCGGGAGCCTGTTGCGATGCGGCGCCTCTTGCACGCATTTGCAGGCGGGTACCAGTGAAAGTTTAATTCTCAGTTAATCACAGCTATTTGAACTGAACGATCAATTTGAGGGTTGACGCAGACATGACCCCTTTCAAGACGTTCTGATGAATGCTCCACTGCCATTCCGGACGCCTGATTTCGTGGTGCCAGACGTATGCCCTCGTCTGGCTGACAATTTGGTCAACCTACTCTGCAATCATTCTGTACAGAACAACAATGTCCTCTCAACGGGTGTCCAAGCTCTCCTCTCTCTATCCGGAACCGGGTCTGAAGGTTGTAGTGGCTGGGAACGGCCTATGGCCCTGGCTATTGCAACAGCCCTTCCAGCCTTTTACAAGCCTATCCAGGTCTGTTCAGATTGGCAAAATTGAGAGATCCGAGTTGATTATTTGAAGAAGAAGAAGAAGAAGAAGAAGAAGAAGAAGAAGAAGAAGAAGAAGAAGGGCTCTCCGGAACAGGTTTATTTAGATGCTGACCTTTCGATGAGCTTGGTAGGCTCTCCATTGTCAAAGCGTAAAATGCACGTGATCGACCAGAAATCCCACGTGGCGTGACACGTTGGACGGCCTCGTGCTGATCGATTTTTCTCTCCTCTCGCCGCCTCCGCCTCTCGGGGGATGGTTGGCAGACGTTTTGCCTGCGTGCTTTGTGAGTCACTTCTCCGTCGGGGGGAGGTGATTGAAGCCGTGTCGGGTGGTCGGTCTGACGGTTTTTGTTCTTCTTCACCGAGTAAACTCGCCGTCGGGCTGTCTTTGTATGGCCTTCTTAAGTCCGGTGTGGTTGTTTGGTCCTGAGCTCTACGATTGTGACAACGTAGGACTTTGTAATATGCAGGAAGGTCCAGATGCCTGTTGATGGAGTGGGCATCAGAGAACCACGTCCCAAGAGTTAGCCGTTCTGCTTTTGTTTCGCCTCCGCCTAAGATGGTAGCTCGCTGGAGATCGAAAGTATGCCCATTTTCTCCAACGTGTGTTGCTAATTGAGAGTTTAGCTCTAACCTCCGAGTAACCGACTTGTGCTCTTGTAGGCGCGTCTGCAATTTCCGCCGGCATCTCCCACATAGTTGCAGTCACCCTCATTGCAATTTATTTTGTAGATAACTGCCGAGGTTTCGGTGGGTGGCAATGGGTCCTTAGGTTGTATCAGACGGCGGCGAATTGTTGCCTGGGGTCGGTGGGCTATGCCTACCCTGGCAGGTTGTAACAATCGAGAGGCAGCCTCAGAGACCCTTTAACGTAGGGAATGACCCCCCAGACTTCAGGTTGCTGCTCATTTGCCCGTCGTCTGTGCGTCCGACGTCTACTTCTCTCGATAAAATGTCTCGGATAACCATTGGCTGCAAATAGGTTCTGAAGATACATTCGTTCGGCTCTTTTAGCTTCTGGTGTGCCGTAGTGTGTTTTGACTCTTTGGAACAGAGTGCGGACACAGTTACGTTTGTGAGACAGAGGATGATTGCTGTTGAAGTGTAGGATCTGTCTCGTGTCGTTGGATTTTCGGAATACTGCGGTTTGCAGTTTTCCAGTTGCACATCGGCGCACAAGCACGTCAAGGAAGGGCAGTTGGTTATGTATTTCTGCTTCCATCGTAAATTGGATATCCGGATCAGCCGAGTTCATTTGTTCCTTAAGGTGCTCAATGGCAGTTGTTTTGACAACGACGAAGGTGCCATTGACATAGCGAGCCCAGAACTTTGGTTGATACTCGGTGAACAGCAAGTGATCTATCCTTTGAAGAACTACTTCAGCGATTAGGCCTGATAGAGGGGAGCCCATAGGAATGACTTTTATTTGTTCGTACAGTTGTCCACCAAAGATAAATAGGTCTTGAGGCAGTATCGCGGAAGCTCGAGCAGATTTTCAGACTTCAGTGGCTTGTCACTCTCTTTATAGCGCCCTGCCAGTAGTTGGGCGATAACGTCTATCGTTAGTTGCTGTGGAATGGAGGTGAAGAGCGAAACGACATCAAAGGATACCATGGATTCGTCTGGCTCTAACTTCAGATGGATGTTGGGGTATGGAGAAATCGCAAAGGACTTTATGCTTGTCATTGAAATCGCATATATCGAAGAAAGGTCATCTGAAATTTTGCCTTAATAAGTGCAACGTAGTCATATTCAATGTCACTGGCACTATCATTGCCGGTCTTCTTCTCAAACGTCTGAGCGCGACATGTAACAGGGGATTTCATCAGAAACACTGTAGATTCAGGAAACGTCACGGAGGGCAGTTGATATGATTTCCACCGTAAAGAAGTTTCTGGAAAACTCCAAAGGTCGCGGACCAGCCTCTGTCTTACTTTTCTTGGTCTCATAAAGACCCCCAAAATTATAAATCGATACAGTCTCTCGGAAGGCCTTTGTCAGAAAGTCAAAACATTCAAACTGAAATCGTCGTGGTGCCCTTCTCGAAACTTCAGTTCCATTCGCTTTAGCTCTAAAATGCCACCGATAATGAAGATACTAGAGGTGGAGGGAGAGTTTGCTCTCACTCGAGTGTGTTGCCTACCTTTCTCAATGCAAGCAACCAAAAGTATTTTAAACCTTTCACGATCTGCCATGAATAATGGCTTGAAAGCTTGCCAACTTGCGTGACGTATCCTTCCTACTCAAGACTCGGGATCAAGTTCAAATGGCCCCTTCTCAATGTGGTCGCCAGAACACGCTTATTTATGTGCCTGCGCTGTGAGCGCACATTCCGCGAGCGAATCGGCGACGCAGGACACATTCGGATTCAATGCACCAACAACCTGGCAACGTCAACTTTTTCTTCCACTCTCTCCTCTGCCTCAAACCCCGCGATGACGACCATCCCCGTCACCAACGATCACACCGTCGCTGCCCCGACGTCATCAGTCCCCGGCGTTATACGCACTGCCCCAATCCCCTCGTCGACCACAGCGACCAGCTCCGCCAACAGCACGACATCTCGCATTCCCCCCACCGATTGGATGACGTCCGACGTATCATTATCCGCTATCGCTATCACCACCCGCATTCCCACCTCCAGTAATGTGGACTCAGTCCCAACTTGTCCTTATTGCAATCGCGCATTCACCCTCCGACATCGACCTGGTCGGTCACTTGCGAATCCATCGCACGGAGACTGGCGCATCAGTGCCTGGAGCAGTCACGTACACTTGACGCATCCTCCCCAACCATTTTCACTGCCACCACACACTCAGCCACCGCATGGGCCTATTAGGTTACATGCATCTTCACGAAAACCTGCGGTAGATTACCGCCGTCTATATTACATCATCACACCTTTGCCCACCGGCACTTGCACCACGCATCAATATCACCTATTGCCACACAATGTAAGCACTCAATTGACGCCTTTCAATTAACTGGGAAGTATGCTTCTCGGCTCCTTCCCCATGTAGCTCCTCTGCTTCATGTGTGGTCCGAGCTTAAGACTATCACGGTACGCCAAGCACCGTGGCTTGGGAGGTTGTCGAACGACGCCTTAACTCAGTCCACACAGTCTAGCCAGTTGTGTGTGTTTGTGTGGAGTGGCAGACTGGTGGGCTGAGAGTCAGACTGTCACAGTTCCTTCTTAATGTGACCTCTAGCACTCTTACGCAAGTGGTGTGTGTGTGTGTGTGGGGTGTAGGTGTGTCCAGTGGTGGATTCACGTGACGGGCGTAGGAGGTCGCTCACATGCTTGCAGGTGTAGACTACGCCTAGCGTCCGTTTTCTGGCACCCAGCTGTCACATGTGCCTCCCCAAATCTAGGCTCTGCCTAAAGGCCACATCCCGGCAACCGCCTCGACCAGCGGGCTAAACCAGGTGAGGGTATCCGTGTGTGAATCTCCGCACGCGGTTATCTCGTCTTCGCTGGCCGGCATCGGCATCTCCGTGATGAGGCCCCACCTGGAACACCGAGGTAAATGAGCCTTCAGGCCAGCGAACGTTGCTCTGCTGCCTTTGCCTCGCTTTATCTTGTTTGTCTGCTCCCTGTCTGCTTTCGTGCCTGTCCTTGTTAAAACTGACAGCCGTTCTATTGAGTCTCCTCTGTTGCTTTTGTTGCTTGCTGTTCTGACTGCTTGTTTGTGCCTGTCCTTACTGCAAACTAAATGCCGTTCTGATGATTGCGTCGCTCACCGCTTATTTTTCAGCAGCCAGTTAGCTTAGAATGGGACGGGAAGGCTCTGAATCCCGTCTCTCTACCCTCCCTCCCCCCTTCAGCTTACGTCAATGTCGTAGGCTGTCCCAGGCTAACTCGGGTCGTTCTCCCACTAAACAAATAAGTGGCCCACAGTGGGGTGCGGCAGCCGCCCGGGACATTTGAGCAGCCCTATTTAGGAATAACACTGTTCACCCCCGCGAAGGGAAAGGGCTAGAAAAGATGTCCTAATTAAATGCTGGGGAACCACGCCGTCTGCAGGCTGACCGTGGTCGCAGACGTAAAACACCGCCGAAACACTCAAAATCAAAACAACACGCTCTTATTCCTCCTCCCCCGCCGTCCCACTCGCCAGACTGGTAAAGTGAGTCTGCTCGCTCTGGAAGCCTGGAATGTTCTTTCGCTTTTAGACAATCCGAGGTGCTACCCTCCGAAACGGAGAACGGCGCTAGTGGCTCGTGAACTGGCGCGCTACAAGGTGGACATCGCTGCACTCTGCGAGACCCAGTTTTCCCAACAAGGCCAACTGGAGGAGGTTGGTGCCGGCTACACGTTCTGGAGCGGTCACCCTAAGGCAGAGAGATGGGACGCAGGCGTCGCCTTTGCCATCCGGAATGACATCGTGGAACGACTGCCCTGTCTACCTCAGGGTATGAACGATCGCCTGATGAGCCTCCGCCTGCCTCTCCAGGGAGGCACTTGCGCCACCATCAGCAGAGTCTACGCTCCCCGATGACCAGCCCCGACGCCGCAAGAGACAAATTCTACGAGGACCTGCACGCCCTCTTGTCGACTGTGTTTAAGGCGGGCAAGTTGACTGTCCCTGGTGACTTGAACGCCCGCGTCGGCACAGACCATGCTGCCTGGAAAGGAGTGCTGGGTCATCGTGGTCTTGAGGCTCCAATGACAATGGCCTGCTCCTTCTACGAATCTGCGCAGAACACCGGTTCATCATGACCAACGTCCACTTCCGTCTCCCGATGCGAGAGAAGACTGCCTGGATGCATCCTCGGTCGCGATACTGGAACCTGTTGGACTATTTTCTCGTCAGGAGGCGATAACACAGGGACGTGCTGGTGACAAGGGCGATTCTGGGTGTTGACGGGTGGACCAACCATCGCCTTGTCATCTCCGTGATGAAGATTCGTCTACAGCCTCGCAGGTGACCTTACGCTAAGCGACCCTCAGGTAGGTTGAATATTGCTTTGTTTTTGTCTGCCCACCATCTCCATTTCAGCAACGAGCTAGCTCAACGGCTGGCCAACCTTCCAGTCGCTGCCGCCGCCAACGCCACCGCTGACGGGAACGCCTCCGTGGAGAACAGATGGTGTCAACTGCGGGACATAGTCCAGTCGACGGCGCTTTCTGTCCTTAGTCACGCACGCCGCCGACACCAGGACTGGTTTGACGACGACACCGCCATCAGTAACCTACTCGTCGAAGAGAACTGACTGCACAAAGCCTACGTCAGTCGCCTCACCGAAGACAACAGAACAGCCTTCTGCCGTAGTCGCCGCCTTGTGCAACAGCGGCTGCGCGAGGTGCAGGACGCCTGGACGACTCGCAAGGCTGGGGAGATCCAAGAGTACGCGGACCACAACGGATGGAATAACTTGTTCGCCGCGATCAAGACTATCCATGGTCTGCCAACTAAAGCAACTGCTCCTCTTCGCAGCGCCGACGGTAGTACCCTACTCGCCGAGAAGACACAAATCCTTCAGCGATGGGCCGAGCACTTCAGGGGCGTCCCCAACCGTCCGTCCACCAACGTCGACCTCAACCTATCGCTCTCTCTCTCCCTCTCCACGAAACCATCGGGGCCGTGCAGCAGATTTCCAGCGGGAAAGCGCCCGGATCGGACGCTATCCCTACTGAGATTACAAACATGGTGGCCCCCAACTCATGGATCATCTGACGGCGCTATTCCAGGAGATGTGGCGTCAGGGACAAGTCCCTCATTATTTCAAGAAAGTCACAATCGTCCACCTCTACAAACAAAAAAGGAAACTGCCAAGTCTGCAAAAAGCACCGAGGCATCTCGCTGCTGAAAACAGCCGGGAAGATCTTTGTTCGCATTCTCCTCAACCGCCTGAACCACCATCTGGAACGAGGTCTTCCGTAAAGCCAGTGCGGTTTCTTTCATCATCGGGGGACCACCGACATGATCTTTGCTGCCCGCGAACTTCAAGAGAAATGTCAGGAAATGCGGACCCACCTGTAGTCTACCTCCTGGGATCTGACGAAATCCTTCGATACGGTGAATCGTGTAGGACTGTGGATAATCATGCAGGAATTCAACTGTCCCAAACGATTCACTCTGGTGGTGCGTCAGCTCCACGATGGCATTATGGCGCAAGTCACGAACAATGGACTGTCTCAGAGGCATTCGCAGTAATCAACGGAGTGAAGCAGGGCTGTGTCCTTGCGTCACCCTCTTCAGTGTCATGTCCTCTTCCATGCTGATGGTGAATAAGTCAGCGTCACTGTAAACAAGCTCATGTACAAGTCACCACTGCTTCATCTTCGATACAGCGCCCGTCTTCGGGGCTGGAGAAGAGCCACTTCATTATTACTTGTATATATGAACCAAACAACTGGATATTCGTTTTTCCGCGTTAAATGCTGTTTGTTCGTTGGCTGTTACATTAACACTTTTTGTTTTGACAATTGCTTTCCCGTCCGGGCAGCCTACAGACCGGGTCAAAATCCCCCCCCCTCTCGCCCGGGCTCAATACAACGCAGGATGGTAGTCCCACGTGAGTTACAGTTTGACCTGTCACGAACAAAGACGCTCCCCTCTGTCCCCCAAGGTGAGCGTAGAGGAGGCTTGCCTGTGAACATTTGAATAGTGGGGCAGACTTGCATTGCATCTAAAAAACTCTCTCTCCTTCTATATCCACCGTGCTCCGGTAGCGAGACAGCGTCTAAAAGTCCGGAGGTGACATGGACGCGGTGGTTGACTTCGCTAGACCACCTGTCCACACACCCCATACACGATCCTGCCGCTGTAACGCATGTGCCGGGTTTCCGGATTAAACTTTGATGAGATCGTTAAGAGGACCATAGTAGGAAAGAGTCAGTATAGCTTGATCCTCAGTCCCAAGGACGAAACTTCGAAGTGCCGACTAGGACACCGAACACAGGACGAAGAGACTATTGCGTAAGCCAGTCGAGGTACAGTGGTCGACAACTCGGATATTCCTAAATCAGAAAGCGGAGAAGGCAGTTTGATGGAGGAGCTTCACAGAGATGATGATGTGCACACGCAACCCAGCAAGCAGTTGTAGTAGGCGTTCCCACCAAACGAACGATAACCGGAATGCTTGTGTCTGAGCCTCTCAAGCCGAGCCAATTGGCGAAAAGATAAATATCGATCGGGGTCACAAAGTCGGCAAACCGAAGACAGACACATGTAAGCAGTGACTGACAGTGTGATGGGCGAATCGAGGGCTGTATAGGTAAGGTACCGCGCCGGCGACCACAGGGCGGAGTGCTACCAGCCCACCACGAACTTTGGCAAGTCTCATCAGACATGTATATTCGAGATGCGCTTGTCAATCACGCGAGGGAGAATAAACGTGACAACCGCATTCTTCCTCTGGCACGCAGATGATCTCAAGCCATCAGGCTGCTAAAGGATGAACCAGATGCGGACAAGATGTCTTGCATAAACTAGGTTTTTTCGGCGGCAAGCGAGAAGTGAATGACCCAGAAGAACAGCCAGCAGAAACGACAGACTAATAGTTAGACAACGAATGCAAATCCGCCTGGGTCTGACCTACACTATAAAGTCCATCGGCATTCAGAATTGTTAACCTACTATTATGAAGTACATAATAACACAAAGAGTGTGTCTTCAAGGCATCCATTTCAAAACCCACCTATGCAAAAAAGAACAGAATGGCAAGGATAAAGTTAATCATGAAACGAAGCATGCGACATGGTCCGGAGTGAGGTCGAGTTATTTCAGCCAACGACTCAAGATTCGCTTTGAGACATCGAGCTGGGGGCAAGGATCGGGTGAACGACCCCAAGCATCTAGAACATATAGAGAATACCTACGATACTTATTTAAGTGGGTTTTAGTCCGACATGATTATTTCGGCTTGGTGTTTCATCGTACAATGTTGGGTCGTCTGTTGTAGACGGTCTGGGGCATTATCTACAATGACCTTAGCTCAGAGAGTAGAGAAGCTATCCTTGTAGACACTTATTGTCTATTTTTTTAATTATCCTGCTTAATTTCTGTTGCTATATGTCAATGCATCAAACTTTTATCTCCTGAAAAACGAATTTATCAATTATCTATACTTATTTTGCCATTCCTCGATGCATACACAGGCCCCTCCCGTAAAACCCCTACTACCACCTTTCCCACAAGACAAGCACATTTGGTTGGTCGTGTGTGTTTGGGGTCCATCACCCGATTGTTACCGAGATGGAAAGTTTCATGTTTGGAAGAATAGCAGCAAGTTGCTCACGATTCCGATCACATAGCCCATCGTTCAAATGATGGAGGCTTCATTGACGTGTGAGGGGCTATTTGAATGAATGGAAGTAGTCATATGGATATTTTTAAGTTGGCGTGTAATTTCCGAGCAATACCGCAACATTCTGGAATCCTTTTGCTACCATGTGCGGTTTATGTGGCTACTGTCTCTTGCTGGAATAAAAACCAGATCCCGACGTTCTTTTGGACGAGGACGTTTCATGTTTGCGTCTAGTATACGTCCTCTCCTATGGCTGGTATGCGCACCAGTTCTGAACTCAATCGCAAACAACTGAGAGTGCGAATGGAAGACAATATGCGCATCCTAGGTTCTTGTTTAAAAGAAGGCGAAGGCACGATCACTGGCACAGTAGGTTTATTTGCCTGAGCTTTCGAACTCGAACTAGAGTTCATCATCAGAGACTACTCGATTGCAGCAAATTGTGAACATTTATACCGCTCACCCTTGCGGGGGGGAGGGGCAGTACGTCCGTGGCTAGGTAGGGTTTGTGCCGCCTGGTCCACGATGTTCCCCCGGTGTGGTGACGCCGTTTGTACTTCGTGACGGTGTGAGCTGCGCCACCTGGCTGCGTGGGCGGAGCGCGTGATAACACGCAGGCAAATCGATGTGTCTGTTGATAGAGTTGGTGTCCGACACCCACGCCTCCAACAGCTCTCGCCCTGTCTTGTTGCCGGCTCGCGCCAATATCCGCGTGTTGGCGAAGTCAAACTCATGCCCTTCCTCCAGCGTATGAGTGGCTACTTGAGACAGTGGGTCGCCTCTCCGAACGGCCCGTTTGTGCTCAAGTATTCGTGAGCTCAGACGTCGTCCTGCCTGGCCTGTGTAGTGGCAAGGACAGTTTTGGCACGGGATTCGATAGACTACGCCCGACTGTACACCTGCGTCCAGCCGATCCTTTATTTTCGTGATCCTGCTACGCATGGTGGCCGCCGGATGATGAGCGATGCCCACGCCTAGCTCTGACGCGATGCGTTCTGTAGCCTCGGATACATTATTTATGTACGGTAGGGAGTGCCAAATTGTTGGTGTCTCTCTTCCGCTTGCCCGGCGTGGGTAGCCGTTGATTGTTAATTGGTCCCGGAGATGCCGTAGTTCTTGCATCCTTCTTTCGGGCTCGCTACAGTGCGTTTTTACCCGATCGAAAAGCGCCCTCACACAGCCCCGTTTGTGCACTAATGGGTGGTTGCTATAATAGTTGAGGACCTGGGTTGTATTGGTCGCCTTTCTGTACACTGTAGTGCTGAGTTCACCGTCAGGTGTGCGTGTGACGAGCACGTCCAGGAAGGGTAGTTTCTCGTCCTCCTCGTCTTCTCTTGTAAACTGAATGTCGGGGAATATGCTGTTAAGTAAGTCTTGAAAACCCGATAGCTTGTCCTTTTCAATAATGAGGAATGTATCGTCCACGTATCGGCGCCAAAACGCAGGTTTGTAACGGCTGAAAGCAACCTTTTCCAGTTTTTGTACGACCAATTCCGCAACTAGGCTGGATATTGGGGAACCCATGGGTGTTCCTTTGATTTGTTCGTATGTTCTGCCATCGAAGGTGAAAAAGGTTCGTTGGCAGAATGCAAAGAGCTGCATAAGGTGCTGGATCTTTAGCGGCCCTGTCGTTTCGTCGTACTTTTCTTCGAGACGTTTGCGTAGCACTTCGCGCGTCAAGTCTGGTGGGATGGACGTGAAAAGTGAGACAACGTCGAAGGATACCATGATTTGGTCGGGTTGAATAGTTTTTCCCCGAATGTCGGCAAGGAATTGGGAGGCTGAATTGACGGACGTCACAGAGCCCTCTCGGGGAAAATTGAGCTTTCGGGCCATCCATTTGGCTAAATTGTATGTGGAGCTGCATTGTATGTGGAGAGTGCATTGAATGTAAAGATAAATATGACACGTCGAGTTCGAGAGGTGCTAAGACGACACCACAATCAATAAATATTAGATTGTGTTCATGCCGAAACCTTTAGTCTCTGATTTGTTGAAGAGGGGTATTTTTGGTCCCATATGCAAGCCGTCATACTGTTGATACCTGCCGTTGCTGTGGCTGAATTTCTCCGCCCTATTTTCTAGATTCTGCTGTATACTCCGCTGGTTGGTTTGAGTTTCATGCCTGCCGCAATGATGTGTCTAATTGCGGTTCGCAGTTCCTGCGCTCACGGACGCATCCTGAATGGCCAGTCAATCGCAAGAGTTGGTAATTTAGCGGACCAATAAAAGCACGCGTCAACAACGTCCTAAAACTGACAACCACATCTAACAGGCCGGTGAATAGGCATGCGCGCTGCCAGATAAATTCCTTTCCATTGTCATATTTCATTTTCTAGTTGTATGCCTCATGGTATGCGGTTTATGTGTCTCCATCAGAGCTGCCCCTCTGCCTGTCAAACGGCACACGTACGTAAAATACCGCATCCCGGAGGTTACTTTTTGGCCAGACTGACCTACTCCTGTGTGGTCACAGCGAAGCATACTTATTAGCTAAAGTTGCAGATGTACTTTAACTACGATCGTCACCCCCCACCATGTTCCGCTTAAGGGAGGAGGGTTGGGAGGTGCTATCGTAGCGGCCTACTCCGCGTGGCGAAAGCGACTGAAGCCTCTTGCGAGTTGACTGTTTGCGCGGCGTACGACCCTGCCTTCAGCTCGCCGATGCCGTGACGCCGATCGATAATTTGATCTTCAAAGCTTGGCCGCAGCCGAACTGGGCTCGGGCCGGGCTCAAGGGTTGCGTGCGCAAACACACATCAAAGGCCAGCTCCCGGCTTGGTTGAAAAGTTTCCGTAGCCGACTTCTGAGCTGCTCGTCCAGCTAACTGTCTCGTTGTTTTTTGACTTGTCGACGGTCCCACCCTGACAACGGCAAGAAGGCTTTATTAAGTCTGAAAATGTTGACTCGGTAATGCGCGCCCGGCGGGAAGATCAAAGGGCTGCGAGCGCCTGGGCGTGCCAAGGGGGAGGCTTACTCAATCCGCGGTTGGCTGGTTACACGTTTATGGCTGTGATTGGTTGGCGAGAAAAGTGAACAACTCCTAGCGTTCTAATGTGTGAACTCCTGTGCGTCACGAAGTGACAGCATCAAATAGAAGGTAAAGTGCATCACACCGGGACTTCCGCCTGGAGATGTATGGTTCTTGCCTTCGGCATCAACACTCAACATTCACACTTGGTCTTGTGATAATGGGCGGGCGCGGAACTCTACACTTTGAGCTAATCAAAAATGAGCTGCATGTGGCGGACGTGGGGGTCAGTATAACCGCACGAATTGATTTTAGTTGTCGGAAGGCGTCGTTTTTTTTGTGTCTCCCCGGCAGGACGTTCGTATTCGTGTCTTCTCAACTCCTCTTTAGGCCGTCCAAGATTGTTTGAGTTAAAAGATCTGATGCTTTTAGGTACACTCCTCTTCAACAAACCTTTTCGGGGTCTTTCGGCAATGAAGAAGCAGATTCCTCGAATTATGACCGATAAGCCCTGTAGAAGCAAAGAAACGCGATATGATGTTGAGCCTCAGTGCTTCAAGGACCCTAGCCGAAGTGGGATTTAAGAAGCAGAGAGAGAGAGGGCTCATCGGGACAGGGTTATAGTGTTGTTGTAGTTTGGTCGGCTCATCGTTGTCAGTGCGACCAATATAAAATATAAATATAAAATATCTCTCGATTGTTACCGAAATCTTAAATGACTGAAGGGGCTATTTGACCTGGGATAGATCGACTTTTTCGCCTTGATCAAGCTGTTTCGAGAGCCTTCGCAGCGGCAGAGGTTCAAATACTATTCTCTACTAACCCTATTTTAGGCGAAGAAGGCAAGGATAGGTTGCCATCTCAGACCAACTCAATGTGCGTCTATTCTTCCACTTCGTCCCTTGGAGTAGGTTATATTTGTCGTACGAGTCGGCGTCTATCCAAAAGAATACGAAAACACCTCCCCAGATGGCTGGGAAAAGGCGAAACTAGGGGCATAAGCAGCGCCATTTTGACGTATGTAGTTGATTCAGGGCATCGTGTGGACCCTGGCGAAGCTTTTTGTGTGATTTACAAGGTTCCCTCAAACTATCCTAAGCTATTGAACCAACGTCTGTTGGCAACAGCAGAAGCGACCATGAGCGGCTTACGAAAACCGACTCTACGTGTCCAGAAGAACCCCATTCAGATTCCGTGTTTACCGTGATCAAAGGTTGACTTTCCACATGCAACTTTCCGCACCCCTCCGTTCTCGCCCCGCCTGTGTTTTAAAACTAATTTTTACCGATTTTCCAATCACTGACATGTTTGACCGTACTCCGTTCGCATATAATTCTACTGGCCTGAAGAGAATTTATTGAAAGCAACGTATGTTCGCCGAATCGTCTTCCGAATATTGCTGTGGGAATTTCCGTAACTCTTATAATAGGTTTTTGATGAGCCTGAATTCATATTCTGTACAGGCGGCTTTACTGGTTACGGCTGCCTGCCGTACCTTAGTCGAAATATTGTGATTCCATTGTGGGAGGATAGTGCGCCGATTTGGTTGCAATACGGAACATACTTAAACTGTTGTGCCCTGGTGCCCAACCACTAGCCCCCGTAGTGACAATAGTTCAGAATTAAAACCGACCAACATAAATGAGACCGGGGTAACTGTCTCTGGCTCAGTGGCCATCGCCAACCCGGATTTACATGATCGGCGATTGGGACACGGACAGCTTGGTCATTAATCGCTGAGTTCAACACACCCTACCATTAAGCCACAGAGTCATTGCAGATTAACGAGCGAATTTTTCCTGTTAGGCAATATTTCCGATCGCAACGGACAGGACGAACTTGGGGCTTAGTGGTAGTCCGGGTTCATACACCTAGAATGTGAATGGGTAGGGAAGACCAACAACTGTAAATCAGCAGCAAAGTTAATAATAAGTTGAAGCGACACGGAAAAATACGACTGCTTAATCGGCATGATTTGGATCCTCTCAAGATTGGCGTTTCCGGGCACCCGACAGTTCGACCGGCATTGCCAACAATGGCCACCGTGTACTCCACAGGAGGATTGGAGCAGAAACGGTGGCTTGCACGCAAGTTGGTTCAAAGCGATAATAGACTTGTGCAGCATCTACCGCATTCTCTTCTCCTCCTCCCCCACCTGGACCCAGGGTCAAGCAGACCGGAGGCGAGAGCGCAAGTGGCTGGAGCGGTAAAAAGCCGCACCTGGGCGTACCACCATACCAACTGGCTAACAACGTCCACTGACTAGAATTCCATACACTAAAGGGACGTCTTGGATGCAAATTGACGCGGCGTGAGCCTGCCGGTGGGCGTGCCACCACACTCAAAACGTTGGCATTTTTTGAGTGTGCGTTCCCGACAACGTCCGTCGGATTGTGATCTGACCCTTGTGTGTCGGTCCAGCGCTTCTACCGCGTAGTCCTTTTTAGAGGCACAACAGCTTACTCAGAGGTAGTCACGAATCCCAACTCCAAAGTGCAAACTTACCATGAACAGAAGGTGTTGGCTTAGTTGACCGTGCGGTTGTTAATCGCTCCCCCCCTCTCTGGAGCTGGAAGACCACATCGCGTCTCCAGCTTTTACGCGTCTGTAACCTTTCATCACCACGGGCATCGTTCAGGCCTCGACGCAGATCACGGACACGTCAGTCGTTAAGGTGAAACACATGGGCCTTTTACCCAGGTTAGGTATGAACTCTCACTTGTGCTCCCAGACTACATGAGGACCATCCTGCCAGTTTTCCTCCTCCGAATTACGATTCCTGAGCGTACTGGCATTGCACGGCGCTTGGTGTCGTGGCCTGACCGAACATCAGTGATTACCATTACTAGCCACAATCGTTTATAACATCTCAACGAGGGCAGTCGAAATGCTTGCTATCAGTGATATAATTCACAAATGCCTGGAGGTGGCTTATGGCACAACGCACGAGGTGCCGGTTCCTGGTTTCTTGCTGGTAAAATAAACAGCCTCCTCCGAAAGCAGAGTTCCCCGACTAACGCTCCAACTATCGCGAAGGCTACTGCCAAGGCGACCATTTCAACGTCGAGAGCGTGAGCCATGAAACCTGCATTTGCGGACCGGAGACTTCTTTGGAAACACCAGGACATAGAAAACTGAGTTACGTGCAAGTCGCCGTCCCTGCGTCTGTCATGCCGCGGGGCACGCGATGGACGTCGCCGAAATCGACGGTCAGCACGCCGATCAACATGGCGGTCCACCCCAATCAGGCGAACAGGCATCACTTTCACGAGCCGCAACAGGCGTGGGTTTGGCCATCTGCCCACAGCTTATGCGCGAAATATTTAAGCTCTGATGGGAAATGTCACAGCGGATCACGGCCGGCTTCCCCTATTTTACATCTGAGACGAGGCCCACAGAATCCACTGCTGGGGACGGTGGCTTAACCCCCCACCGCCTTCTGACCAACCATTCAAGTCAATAAGGTTTGGCAGTGGGCGGAACTAACGAGCGTTTCAAGGGTAGCTTTGTGCAAACCTCTCACCGGGGCATCTTAGTTATCCCTGTCGATGCTCTCATTCTGGACCAGTCAGCCCCCTCAGCATCCAGACCAATGATGCCGTTTTGTAGGAAAAATCCCGTCGAAAAAGTGTAGTCGGTAGTGTGTTTGGAGAGACTCGTCAGGGTTCACGCGAATAAGAAGATTACGACCGAAAAAGGTCCGAGTAATTCCCAGCGGAGCCAGAATCTGGAAACACGACCGGTTACTTTACTATGCAACAAATTCCACACACAAAACTAGGGACTTCTTAAAACTCATGCAGCCACCAAGGGGAAACACGGTAACGGCAGAATTTCTTCATTCCTAAGAGTAAAGACGGCGTCGACCGGAGGCCTCAATCTGCTTGTTTAGTGCAGTAGTAGCCAACCGGAGGCTGATCGAATAAAGATAAGTCACAATGGTAAACGACCGGTATTATAACTTCGAAAAATTTACAGACCGTGGCCTAAAAGTCAATGCTAAAGCAACCGGTAGAGAGAAACAGTACAAAAATCGAGACTCTTCTCACACAATGCACGGACGAGTGTGCAGAGAAAAGACGAGACGTCAACCCTCACCAAAGCGAAGCAGAACGTTTATTTAACAGTCACATGAGGCGCAGAGGAGAAAAGCGTTTCCGAGGGTGAAGGCACGCGTAGTAACAGAACAGGTCAACTCAAAAAAAGGAAAGAGGTAACTGCTAGAGAGGCATGCTTGATGCTTCACTTCTTCTTTCGGTTGCGTTTCTTCTTTTGACCACCTGCTGCTGCTCCGGCACCGTCCGCTGGGGCGGTGTGGCCCTCGCTGGCAGGCGACTTGTTCTCGGCCTTGGATTGCTGCTCGGGTTGGGCATCGCCGCCCTCTCCGGCAGGCCCGTTGGCCGGAGGCTTAGGGTCCTCGCTAGGCTTGACTGTGGTAGCGGGGGCCGTGTTGGTGCTGGCCTGGGCGGCCTTCTTACCCTTTGTCTGGGGTTCCTGCTTACCAGCGGCCCCCTTCTGAGCGGGGGCCTTTGTCTCCTTGTCCTGAACCCCGGCCTGTTTGGTGCCCTTCGTCTTGTTGTCCACTGCCGGCTTCGGCTTATCCTCTTTGTTGAGGGAAAGCTTCTCTAAGGCCGCCCTCTGCTGATCAATTGGGGCCTCCATTACAAATTTGATTTTCTCGTGGATTCCTAGAGGATGAGATTTAAAATTAAATATTGCTCCCAGAGGTAAGGAAATACGGCCTAATGGACCTTATCTGAGGAAGAAGAAAATTCTTGTGAAGAAAACAAACCTTGGGGCATGAAGCGACGAAGAACTTCCGGGACGATAATGCCATCATCTGTTTGGTAATTCTCGAGGATTGCACAGATAACCCGCGTCGTAGCGCACATAGTTGCATTAAGCATGTGAACGTACTCCACCTTGAATCAGAAGTATAAAACGTGCAGATTAAACTGCTGGGAAAACTCAAAGCTTAATGCCGGTTGAATAATATTTCGAGATCGACACATCATTTTCCACTCCCCAATAGCTATGACTCTTCCTGTTTCTACACAAGCAGTTGACTATTCCCTAGCATACACTGAATTCCCTGCCGGTTGGTAATGTCGGCTTCTGATTAGATTCGCACTATTTTGAAGGCGAATCGAGGGTTGCGCCAATTGCAAAAAATTGCATTACCAAATGAATTTGCAGAGGCGGAGTAAAGTACGTGGAATAAAGGTGAACTGGACTCAATGAATATGAGCAAGAAAACACATTTGTGCCGCCTAACATATAGAAGTGGTGGCCACGACTAACTGTTGATCAAGTGCGCTTGACACCCGAAAATCCGAACAGGCAATCTAGAGCAGTTGAAGATTTTGAGTGGGTCAGGTAATTTGAAGAAAATTAAGCTCACTTCTCTATCCATCTTCTTCGTCTGACCATATCGTACAGCCAGGCGACGAGCCTGGTAGTCCGTGCAGTTGCTGCATGATACCAGCTCTCTGAAGGCCTTTGAACCCGGGTACCAACCCTCCAGGTCATACTTCATCGCTGCAGCGTTGTTCAGCTCACCAGATACAATCGAAACAATTCGATACGGCAAACCAAGGGCCTGTAAATTCAAAAATCAAGGTGCTGTGAAGTGACTGACAAAACGCAAGTCATTGACATCAGGTAGTCTAATAAATACCCTCCAAGGTAGTTAACTGAAATTAAAAAGGGAATTCAAAGACCTAGAAATCGAAAATTTGCGCCAAGTGACCAACAGCGGAAACAAAACTGTAAGTTTTTAAGCGCGCGTCCAGCCCTCGCAATTTATACTTTAGCGAAGGGTAAAAGAACCCCGGAAAAACCGATAGTACCTCAATAGAAAGGAGAAGAAAGCTGCGGCCGACAGTTCACAAGGGGTGTTCTCATTGTCGCGAGGGTCTCGTTAAGCTGTGACCATCAGAATACCCTACTTTACTGCTCCCCTGACGCCTCAACTGTCCACTTCGATTTCAAAGCGTTAAAGAGCAATCGTGACGGCCAATCTACTGGCAGCCTGAATTGAGAAAACCTGCACTTTTCATGTTGACCAAATCTGTGATTTGTGGTCAAAAGTGCGGGTGCCATGTGAGCTTCACCATGAAAGACAGTATCAAAGGCTTGAAATTTGTCCCGTCCAACTAACTCCAACACTCCGCCATGCTTCCCTTGTGTGTGATAAGATAACCTGGTAATAATATACTTATAAAGATTTGAGTGTTACCAAACTACAGTTGCGGTCTGCATAGTTTGAAGTTGCGCTTTCCAAAAACGCAACCCCTCGAAGCCAGGGAAAGCAAGTCTGTGGCGTCATCCAGCCTTTAAAGAGTACTTTGATCGAAAATTTGCCTTAGGGTTCTAAGCAGACTCCGACACAAGCGTGCCTAAACAATAACCGGCACAAGATGAAGCAGGATAATGGTGTTCCAATCCCATAATCTCCTCCAGCCTGGCTAGTATTGTTACAGTTCGAAAAGCAAGGAAGTTATCGAAGCTTCAAGGGCACGAAGCGTCTGAGTATACATACAACCAAGTGAAGCCAAAAAGGTGGAAAGCGATCTTGGCGTACCTCAATGGCAGTTGAGCGATCCGAAGCCAGAGGACAAGCCCGGGCACGCGAATTACATGGTAACTTAGACTGTGTCACAAGCGATGACGTCAAAAGTCTGGTGGGAATCAGAATATGGAGAAAAAGAGAAAAGGAGCAGAAAGAAACGGATGTGCCCTGAAAATTGCTCGTGATGGTGACGAGCCTAGCTCCTCCGCACCACCTCCACAGTTCACCTGCATCGGTCCCTGGGCTTTCTTAGTTTGCGGTTCACTTCACATACCCTTGAAACTAACCTCAGCCACACACCATAGCAGGCTGCGCGAGAGGCAGAGTAGCCGCCTACGCCATCGTACCTAAACTGGGTCTCATGGCACAAGGCGGTGGACTTTAAGGGCTTAGAAGGCAGACAGAGATTAAAACGCTTGTTACCAAAGTGGTGTGGGTATGACATAAACGTACCTGATAGAATGCTTCGGCCGTCTGGATCATTTTGTGGAACATATCCCACGAGTGGTTGTCGTATGGTGAGGTCAGGCAAAATTGTTCAACCTAAAAGATATGATTTTTTGTGTGGAGAAATATGTTGTGGATGTACAGTAGATAGGCGACACGTCATATAAGTTTAGGGTTGCTTGAATAAAACAATGAACGTGACGCGGAGCGAATATCAGAAATACAACACGAGCTGCATGCAGGCCTAATTCCCAGAATTATGCAGAGACTACGAAGCGGGTTTTCGTATTTATTTCCGTCTGGCTGACGAAGATTCTCCTAGTGGATGTTCTTAAGCCTTCAGAAGATGCTTCGAAACGGACTACTTAAATTCGAAGTCTACCTGGTGGCTAGTAGACAACAAAACACTATGTTTTCTGCCGCCTATTTTCATTACGGATATTAAGTTCCCTGCCAGAAGACCAGAAATACTACCTGCTGTCTATTTAGACCTTCAAATATAATGGCCAGCTGCAAGGGCCTTCAGAACAATACTTACGTCTAATGGTGTAAAAGAAAAATAGGGCGCAAGTTAGGAGTGCTGTTGGGTCGGAAGTCCGACAGTCTTTTGTACTGCAGTTGCCACTGGATTGTGGGGCGGAATACGATTCCCTGAGAGAAAGGGAACCCGATTACTAGAACAGGCATCTTACCCGTTTGACATTTTAGATTCGCGCTCAAACGCATTACCAGAAACGCAGAGATAATGGTTGTTAGTTTACAGTGGCGTATCAGTGGGCCAAACTGCTCAGCAACTACTACATCGATAACTAACCACGGTGATGAAACTAGCAACGACTCGGATGCGTGGCTTGTAAGCAACCAACACACCAAGTACCACAATCAACGAAGGATATGGGAGATGTTAATTATGACAGGTATGTGTTTGCCTGCCAAAGTGCATCCTATAAATACCGCATCCTAGATGCGCCTATCACCTTCATCTGTTGATCTATCTAATGATGGATTTGAGTGTGAATCCAAAGCGTTGGGGGAATGCAATTCTTGTTCCGGTGATCGAGTTCCCTTCAGCTGCTTCCCGGGGTTTGTCTTCTTGCTTATATAGATACTGTCTTGTAGATAGCAAAACAGGGCTAGCCTACCTACCTACCCACTGTGGTTCGCTTAATCTTGGTACTTCGATCAAGAGTCCGCGGAGGGAGTTGCATAGCGACGGACCAGCGACAATCAATACGCGACCGAAAGACTATAGGGGTAATTCGTGATGTTTGTTGTCAGCTAGCCATAACCTGACGTCGGACGGGGAAGGCTTGGAATCTTTAGCCAGTTGGCCAAGTCGTTAACCATTGGACCCATGGTCTGATGGCTGAAAACGGGAATTCCCAAAGTTACCTAGGGATGGTTCATGACAAGCGTAGCTAATCCGTTGGCACCTTTGAGAGTTTGGCTGCTTTTGGGTATCGTGGCCTAGAGATAATGAAAATCATAGAAAAGCCATGCCTGAAGGATTTCTCTAAAGAACCACACAAATCGTAGGTATGGAAAAGACAGTAGAAGCAACGACCAATTCAGACAAATCGGTTAAAACCCCCTCAAACGCGAAAGGCTGGCGTGATTTAGGCAAGTCAGTAAGCGGAATGCGGAACGCATACCTTTTCGAACTGGTGGACACGGAATATTCCACGGGTATCACGACCATGGCTACCAACCTCCTGGCGGAAACAGGATGAAATACCAGCGTAGCAGATTGGGAGAGAGGAGGGTGCAAGCCACTCATCGCGATGGAAGGCGGCAATCGGTTGCTCTGAAGTGGCAATCAGGTATTTTTCTTCTTCGATAGCATCACTGGGATCACCAGCAGCCTCGCGTTTGCCGATAACCTTGTAAAGCTCGTCGTCAAACTGGCTCAGTTGAGCAACTTCCTGCATGATCTCTTTCCGCATAAAGAAAGGTGTGTACAGTGCGGTATAACCACGCTCGTACAGCATCCCAAGGGCAAAGCTGATTAGAGCTTGTTCTAAGAAGACGAGAGGTCCCTGAAAAAGATCAAGCAAATATGATGAACGCATAATAGTTAAACGAATAGGAAGTATGCACAAGCTTAATCCCAGTTTTTCAAGAGGACGTAAACAGACGAGCAACATAAATAGTCGGGCTACTCCGGGAACGACTTGACTTTTACAAACGCGACCAGGATGAAGGGGTGAACAAGGGATATCAAACCCGAACGTGCTAGTGCGTGCAAAAACTTTAAACACCAGTAGACATGTTCAACCTTGAGGTCCGCTCATGGTCAGTCAGAAATTCGAAAAACCCTACATCTGTTTTATGCTATGCTAAGCCCCTAAGTTATAAGGGCAATGAAAGAAACAGCAAAGTAGAAAACGCCTGTCGACATCCACTTGTGCCACCAATTAAGAACCCAGACAAACAGCTTATGCTGTTTTCGCGCACAGCCTACAACGATGGCAGAAAGAACAGTACGAAAGAAGTTACTGGAAGTAAATGTATGTAAAGGCGACAGAATTGGGGTAGAACCGCTCCGATTGCGGCTGAACAGCAATGCTCAGGCTGCCCACACTTGAGTCGACGAAGAAATACACAACAAAGGGCCAAACTGTCTTGTCTCTATTGGGCTATGCTTACCTTCAGGTAGTAGCCACGGGCCCCGGCGACAGTTGCTCCGCGCTCACCGTCAAAGCCATCCACCATCGTCACCAGATCCACATGGGAATACCGCTTATGGACAGAGCAGTCACCAGAGGTACGGATGACTGCGTTGTTTTCCTTTGTAAAACAATGAAAACATGAACGATCAGGCACTGTAAAAAAGGCTCATATGAGCCGTAGACTATCCTCGTCTATCAAACCAGATGACCAGGTGCATAGGGGAATAAAAACATGGGAAGAGAATCTTTCTCGTGACTATGAACAGGCAATTTTACCATACAATGGGAAAATACCATGAAATGAAACATTGGGGACGTTCTTACCTCGTTGTCACTGACAGGCACCTCGTGGTAAAGTATATTCCCGATTTCAAATAAGACGTCATTGCGCCGCTTCTCGAGATCAACAGTCAATAATTGTTGTTCTTTTATCGCATCGTCGAGCTTTGGCGACAAGGCTTTAATTTGACGGACTGTGAGTTTCTAGTTAGGACAGCATAGTTGGCCGAACAAGGTAGCTTACATCTAAATCCTCAGGGGTAATTTCAAGAATATTGCTATTCAAGTCGTCGGGCAAGTCATCACCATCCCCTTCTGGTTCTTTTGCCTTCAAAAGTAAACACAGCGCTTAAAACCAACCTTAAGCTTCTTCCCAATTGCCTTGCTACAGAAATTTTTGACCTTTTTCAGATGGTCAGTCGTTGATCGCGCTATAGAGAGGCATAAGAGTTCGTAATTAACGTACCTTTACGCCACTGGTTGTCAAGATCGATGACTTTGTCTACATCTTCCGGATTTTTATAACGCTTTCTCTGGCTGTCACGGATCTTCTCAGGATCCCCACCCTTGTCGACACGAAACAGATCGATGGAGAGAACCATGCCACCAAACGCACACGACCACAAAATCGAAACACAAGGACGAAGTCCTTACGGATCAGTTTGACCTAATATTCAACATTGGATTGTTGGATTTATTGAAAACTCCAAGCCCTAATTATTCTAATGCTTACGCGTTAGAGTCTGCATCGGCACTACGACAAGCTGTACAACGGGTGTTCAGTGTAGGTACAGGAGAGTAGAGAATATATGGACAGGGCAACTAACGGACGGAAATCAGCAGCAACAAACAAGGCACAATAAACAGTAACACTCATATTGTAAAAAGGTGTTAGGCTTACTCTCTAAATCGATGAAATAAAAATCCCGGAACACCAGATATAAATGTGTAGAACGACGAGAAAGGGCCACGTAAGGCAAGAATCATATGCTTAAACCATTCTGAGTCTCCCGTCTCAGGAATCGGATTTATTTAGAATCCATCGTTTTCTGAATACTGTGGTTTTCCTCTGCCGGAGTTAAAATAAATATGATCAAAAACTGCGCAATGAATTTTCAGCAGCACCAAGAAACAGGCTTTGCAGCTCATGGTGTTACGGATATCAACGGTTGCAGATTGTGAGGCCATTGACTCGCGTACAGTCGTGTTGAGCTCTGGGAGGCAATGTCAATTATAAAATAATCAGAAACAATGGGGTCAAGTAAGGATACAAAACGCCTACTGAGACTGCGAAACAAGGGTAATAAGAGATGGGTAAAAAACAGCGTCAAATGTTACTGCTCGCAGCACTGCAATGGATCAGTAAAGGATTGAGCAAATAGTACAGGAGCATAGCAAAGTGCTCCTGACGGTGAAACCAAGCACAAAATACGAAAAAACCGAAGCCACAGTGTTCTCTTTGGGCGTCAATGCCTTTAGATTCTCTAGCTTTCTGCCTCTCATGCTCCCGAGCGACCGGAGCATGCGCATATACAGTTTTGAGGATAGTCAATCGGAGATGCCTACAAGCGGAAGGTTTATGATCAGGAGTTTTTGAAGACCGTTAAGCGTCTGTTCGAATTGCATCATATCTGTCCATTTAGTGATGCTACTTAAGAAGTATAAAATATGGTCAATATCCATTATGAAGGTTCATGAGTCACAAATTACGGCTGCTTTTTAATAACTCAGGTAGACGCATAATTTTCCCCAAACTGGAAAGGTACAGTCTGCTATGCAGGAACTAAGCACAAGCAAAACGGCAGATGGGAGGCAAGTACTCCCAGAAATCCAAAAACTTCTCTCAAACCAAAACGGACAAGTCATTGCTAGCAAATTTTGAGAAATAGCAACTTTTTACAAAATAAGCGCCAGGACGGATCTTTTGTGTAATCCTTCAAAGGAAAAGGCCTGTCCATAAGTCAGGATCAGGGTTCATTCCCAAAGATAGGTGGAGTTTTGCCCTCACTTCGATATTCCTAGCCAATTAATGCGTATCTTAGATTGTGTTCTTCCAAAAAGTCGCCTTATGTTACCGGGTATAGCTTTCCCTTTATTATTAGACGGTCTGCTAAAAAAAGCTGCATTTTGCTAAGCGCCTGTTTATTGACGCCGGTCCAGACCGTCTCTTTCTAGTTACTATAGTAAATTAATAGAAGTAATTGCTGACCAGTTCTTTTTTGTAATTTTGCAACGTTTTGATCCTTGTAACGCAACGAAAACCTGTCTAGAACCTAGTCATGCCCCGAAGAAGAGCTGTTTAAAGACGAAAGCGCGTGGCCTTCTCACCGTCTCTGAGTACTAGAATCGTGGCCGGATACACAGTGGGTGCCAACGTATTTTCGCAGCCGTCTCTAGATATTCTTAACTCAAAAGTTCCTATAGTTCATATATAATTTCTTTGCCATTTGGTGGCTCAAAACCACGCCAATCGTAGTCGTAGCAGAACATCATCCGACGAAATACTAGATCAGTTGTTATATGATGACATAAACAGTGTTTCCGGCAAAGTTATTGAACAAGTATTTAAAGTTATTGGGGTAATAAGCTCCGAAATTGAGAAATGGATAAAACGTAAGCATAATTGTTTACTGCGTAACGTTCCGAGTGCGCGAATTCGTTTCTGCAAGGTGGTGGCTTGGGTCTTAGTGTCGCGCAAGCTAAACGACTGCGTTCAGTCAGCCCTAATGCGTCGATACTAGTTACTCTATTCTCCTTGATATAAGTTAACTTTATCGTGCCGAGGAAGGAGATGACCGGGGAATTTCGCAGTTAATACCGTTGCTCGGCTTCCAGGGATCTCAAACCTATGCAGAGAAGACTGAACAAGTTGTCGAAAACCGAAACCCACATAATGCCCCTGTTTTCCTGTCGAATAAGTCTTCTTTGACGTCATCTGCGGCCTCATCACTCCATGATATGTTGAGTTTCGTAGGGGACTCGACTATTCTTGATGTCGAGACCTCTAGACGCAACAACAGGCCTTGTACAGAAAACACCCCTTCAGACTCCACCGGTAACCCCTAAGAAAGCATAGCAAGTGCCTAACTCAAAGACGAGTCTGAGAGCAACTACAGTCACAAGTACACTGTGTAAATCCAGATCCCCTAAGAACGTTTTCCTTCTACAGTCGCCCGCCACTCTCTAAAACACCCCGGCCCTAACTATAGCGTGTTTCCAACTACCCCTTAGACATCATACTGAAACCGTTATACCGAATATGCCGTCATTCCTGTCTTTGAAAAGAATTCCCACCTTGATCGAAGCAGTTCGTCTACTACCCCCACCATGTCCCCTCCACGGTCGACTGACCAATGGAATTCTTATACAAACGTTCATACGCGGTCAAGAATGTAAGACCAACAGCAACCGCACCCAATAATTTTGTTCCGTCTTATTTCAGAATTCAGGGAGCTGTGAGGAATAGTTTATTCTGTACACAGGGCAGGTTGCCGTGGGTTGGCTGTTTGATTTTGACAGAGCTAAGCGTCCGTTCCCGGAGAGCGTCAGCCGAGGTTTGTTGTTCACGCGGGCGTGCATGTCTGTGCCAATAGGAGGGAGTGACTGGTTGAGTGTTGGTCATGTGGTCGGACGGGTCATGAGCGGAATAATGGGGTGCATACTTACAAGGAAGCACGGATATGAAGCCGGGCTTTTCTACGCGCGTGAGGCGGTGAAAGTTTCTGGGGACAACTGTGAGTCATTGCAGCTGGACAGGAGGTGCCTCAGTTCTAGCCGGCGGGGGTGGCCGTGTGTCAACGATTATCGCGGCCATAGACCCGCAAAACGAAGCCGAAGCGGGTGGCACTGAAGCGGCTGCTAAAATCTCACTTCATCCTCGGTTCCATTTCGATGGGAATACACTACAGTATCGTGCCTGTGGATTTCCAGTAGGAAACCAGTTAGATATCGATAGTAATCAGTTTCCCTGCCCATCATTTCCTCCCCCAAATCCTACTCCTTTTTATTTGCGTCAGGATCTTTTGATTCCACAAATTTTTCGCAGAACCGGATAGGTGCATTCGGACCGTAGGTCCCGTGGACAGCCAATCGCTGAACGACAGAGCCCACTTCTCTCAGAGACAAACAGTTTTCTCCCTTAAACTTTTTGTTCTAAATGCCAGATCCTTGTTAAGTAAGATGCCTTTACTTCAGATTCTGGTGTTCGTCCAGTGTTCAGCTATTGTTTTATTAACTGAGACATGGAAACTGCTTCCGTATCTGACTCCTAACCCTCTCTTCTAGACTATACTTGCATTCGAAATGATCGTTAAGACAGTCCTAATGGGGGAAGCTGCATCTCTGCCAACCAAACATTTGAATTTCTGCCGTCGGACACCCTGCATTTTTCCGCAATAGAAGGCAGTTGCTGACTGCAAGTTATTTTTAAAAATATGTTCTCCTTGTTCATCGGCTGTATCTATCGCCCAGACAACGCCGGTGAAAATTTTAATCGTCGTCTCTCACAGGCATTTCATGCCGCGGCCTAATCGAGCCTTAAGTATCAGTTGGTTGCGGGTGAATTCAATCTTCTTGTAGTCCGCAGGTTTCCTCCGTGGAACCCTAAAGGGTTGAAGTCTAACTTGAGGCTGTGAATGTTGGCATGTGAAGTCAGGTTGTCGATTTTCGCATCCAAAGACCAAGCATACCTGGCCTTATTTTTTGTAGGGGTTTCATGCCTCTACCAGTGTCATCCTTAGACCCATTTGGAAGATCAGACAACGACATCGTTGTTTCAACGTTAGAACTCGAGGCTGACAAAATTTCGTCCTCAAACCATAGCTTTTTCTTCGATATCTGGTCAACCCGCTTGGCTGAATTATTAACATACCTGGATTCCTACGACTGGACTGATTTCTTTCTTGGTTCGAATGCAAACGCTGGCATTGCTAGACTGTGCAAAATTTGGGATCCGCTTATTTCTAGTTTTATCTCCTATAAAAATTAATTGATGCTGGGATGAGGTTTTCCTTCCCCCGTCATTTCGTCGTAGGTTGCATAGAACTTCTCGCCAACTTCATCTTCTGAAGGACGTTACCATTCTGCCCTCGATTTACGGTATTTTTGAGCGGGCTAAGAAGCTGTCCAAAGAAAAGTGGCCAATCGAGGAGGTACACTTCTCCGAACACAGCTCGTTAAACGTCGCGAAATTTTTCTCTCGAAAATTAAATGCTCATCTGCAAACGCAGCTTCCCATCTTCCGGGACGGCCGTGGAAATCCTATAGCAGATGCTCAGTTGACCGCTGATCATTTCAACGCTTCCTTGTCCGAAAGGTGTATAAAAAACCCGACAGTTCCGCTTCCGACCATCCAAGCATGGACCAGGGCCGTTCTCAAAACAATGACTCTTGTCCTGTTGGACGTAACTGTAACGGTTCGAACTTTTCGTCAGTCTCATTGTCCAAGGCCTAATTGTGTCCCAGTTTTAATCTTAAAAGCGGAAAAAGGAAATTTTCCCGTCGATCCTGTGCAAGATATTTAATCTCGCTCTTAAAAGTGAAAGCTATCCTATTTTGTGGAAGGAGTCACACGCTCTGCTTATGCCTAAGTACGGTCACTCTA